CGGTGGAAGAGTTAGACCGCCCTGGCAAGAGTGCTGGGATATTTCATTTGTGCGTGCTTCCTGCAGTGATGGAAGTGGGAACCCAGAGAAGCAAACACAAAGTTAAGTGAGGGAGTGAACTTGCAGCACATCCACTGTTCTTCAATAAGTATCCATCTGCATATTCTTACGTCCTGTTAATTACAAGGTAAATTATCCTTCTTTCAGTGAGATTGCCCTGGTGTACACATACCTGAATTACCTCACCTTGAGTCTGTGTAATTCTGCTGTAACAGCTGACTAGTGCTGAATTGTTACCCTGCAACACATTTGAGCCTTTCTACTTTGAATCACGTCCACACTTTGAAGTTTTAACTGTTATGTCATGCTGTAAACTAAGCCTTTACCCAACACCAGGTCTTTTGAGCAATTCTGGGTTTTTATCTGTTTGTGCCTGACATGCAGCCCTATGAAGAAGCACTGAACCTGGCCGTCCTTCCACTGCCCTGTAGCTTGGGTTGTTTCAAGCACTTCCCTGGCAGCTGCAAAGCTGATACGAAGCAGTGTAACTTCCACTGTGGATTATCAGGAACACTACTGAGGCATTGCTTAATGCATCTGATATCTAAGCCTCGATAACAGAAGACGTACAGCTGAGCAAAAAAAGATTGGCAGCTATTGCAGGAATTCAGATAGGGGCACCTTGGTAAAGAGTGGGAGGGGACGCATTTACTTCCATTACAGAGCCCAGGGCTGAGATGGATTCTCTCTCCGTCATTGTCCTAAGCACATTATCCCTGAAAGAAAGAGGGTTTCTCTGAATCTGCAATTTTTCTAGGCTTCAGTGTTATTGAAATGAAACCGCTTCAAGGATATCTACATTCTTTGCCATCATATGGATTCTCATCTCATGTAAATTATTTGGCCACTTTTCATTTTAATCCTCCACTGTCATTTTCTACAAAAGAGATCATTTGGTTTCTTCATTGAAGGTATTCAGCTGACAGCTGCCCTTTGTCTAGAAAGCACTGTGCCTTTGCAGGATTTACTTGTGCCTGCTCTTTTTCTTTCTATTTTTTTTTTCCTTTTAAGTTCATATTGCTTCATATTTTTCATCTGTAGTTTTCAGGAACTCTTCAGATAGTGAACAGGCTGTGGTTTGTAGCTGTGAAGAGAAATTCAGACATCCTGCATTCTTTCCCTGTCCCTTAGCAAGAGTATACCTGGCTGATAAGAAACAGAACTGTAGGCAGATTAATCAATTTTCTGCTTGCAAGAAGAACTGTAGTTAAAAAATTCACAAGTGTTTTCACAACTTCTACATGAACAAACCAAAATAGTCAATGATGAAATCTTGAATTGTATTCCATGGCTTCCCTATTTGAAAACCAAGTTATTCTCACCTACTTTACAGAAATGTTGGAAGACTTTAAATGTTGTGCTTTGTGTAATGGTATATCACCCGCAGGTCCCATTAAGACCTTGAAATAAGTGATGGGAACGAAATATGATATGTTGGTAGAGTGTGTATATGGAGAATTGGGAAGCTGGGGATGAAAATCAGCTTTTATAGTTGAGGTGGTATGTTTTTGGTTACCCGTAGCTGTGAGACCTTTTCCTTTAAGACTGAAAACTCCTGAGTATAATCTCTTCTCTGATAAAACCAGCTTGCACTCCGTCAAAGGTTAAAAGCACAATATGGTGATGGGGAAGAATATTATCAGGAGAAGCTGAGGAGAAGATACAGTTTTGGGGAGCACAAGTTGAGGGCTGGACGAGTTTATAGGCAGCTTGAACGTGTCAAGGAAGGAGGAGGCTCCTTATTAATGTGGATAAGGAATAACTCAGCAGGTGGAAGGAGAGGCAGGTTCTAAAATTACTGTGTCAACTATAGAAACCAAGTTTAACTACTCCGGTAGTGCCCTTCCAGCTCCCCTCTGGTCCCTGCTTAGCTTTGTGATCTCCATGAAAATGTCTTTATTTACCAAGAGGGCTGCCTGAAAACTTCTCAAATTTTAGTTTGTTTTTTTTTTTTTTTTTCATAAAATAGGGCTTCAGGATGAAAAGAATTTCAGGTTTTCAAGTGGGAATAACTTCTCTTTTAGAAACTTTTAGACATTTACCTTGATAGGTAAGAAATTTGTGTTAGAATTTAAAGAAAATGTTCAGAATTATGAAAAATATGTTTTGATCCAATCAAATAAAAATGTTTATAGCTTATTCAGGTGTAAAAAAGTATTAAGATAAAAATCACTGTTTCAGCAGCAAGTTTTTTCTACATGACAAAGTGACTGGACTACACAAAGACAACTTCCTTGTTTGCCAGAAGAGGTGTCTCATTCATTGTCCAGTTCTGAAAGCTCGCTCCATCACAGGGACACTTCCTGTGAGCCCAGACAGTTGTAAACTTGAGCCTAAGCTTTGTTATTACTAGAAAATGTGAGCTTTTTTGTTGGAGCCAGCAAAAGCGTATGGCAGTCAGTGGTTTGCTAAAAGGATAGTGTTGAGTTACGTGCCAAGAGAAGGATCGCTAGTGACTCTGGTGTTGTCTTTTTCTTCATTAATTGTGGTCTCAGTTTCTTGCATCAACATAATAGGCAGTTCAGGTATACACGGTTTCTTAATTTTACGTCTTTTGTCATTTCTTCCATAAAGTTAGGCATTGTTTTGTGACCACAGATGATCTAGATCCATAATGTTGCATGATATCAGGGTTTCACCTTCTGTTTTTTGTTCGTCACCATGTAGATCCATCAAGTTTTCTAATTTTGAGGAGTTTCTTTCATAGTGTTTTTTCTTGACTTTTGACAAGTATCTATAAACAAAATAAATAATGTTCACCAAAGGGAGTCCATAAAATAGCTGTTATGACTACCAAAATTTGCTGAGTTAATTTTTGTACACATAGTGATGACCTAGATTCCTGATTAGGACTCCAGGTCATACGATATACTCATGTAAATAATAGCACAGCAGTTTTCAGCTGTGATGTCTTGACGTTCCTTTATCTCATGACACTTAAAAGGAGAAATAGTTCTTTGCTCTGAGCAGAGTAGAGTGCTCTATTTTGTAGGTAGGAGAGCTGAGACACTGTCACGAGGCAGTTGGACTGGGATCCTGAGCTTCTGCTTCCATCACAAACTACTAGAAAAAGGATTTTTCTGGTCTGTTTTCCAAGCTCTCCATTCTCCAAAAAAAACCCTTTGTACATACAGAACATGACCCTTTGGAACAGACACTTACAAGTTAAGATAGACACACATACCACTTCAAAGGCTACAATAATAATAGAAAGGGGGAAGTAAGTGTAACCGGGTGTCCTCCTCTTCAGCTCTAATGGCAAAATCTCAGCTGTTTTTTCAGAGTAGGATCAAGTATAGTGGGAGTTGCAGTTACGGTCAGTCTCTCTGGATTTACTTCATAAGAGCAACTCAGAGGTCCAGGGAAGAAGTAGTGAATGTTTATGTGTAAATGTGATTGCCTCCAAAGCCCAAATCGGTAGTACGGACATAGTCTACCCTTCGTTTAGTGAAGATGGAGCTATTTCTGTGGTTTCATTTGCTCTCTTAAGCTAGCAAATCAAGTAGAAGTACATTAACAGTGCAACTAGCTGTGCTAATGTGTGATTTCTCTTAGTCAACAAGTAGCAACTTTGAAATAGGACTCCATTTGTGGGCATAGCTGCATCTGTAAATAACACTGTGAACAATGGGATGAAGAAGTAGTCCCTAAAATTCAAACTGAATGTTCCAAATTTGTATTTACAGTGAATTGAAGTAAACTGGAAGTCAGATAGTGAGTTCTGCATTAATACCACTTACTCAAAAGAAGGTTGGACAGAAACAGTTGCTGTATGGAGCAGAATCCAGGTTTCCATGGAAAGCAACTGTGCTGGGGCTGATCCACCAGAGGAGAAATATGCCCATGGAAAATAATAATTGCCTAAATATGCCTCAGTCTCCTACTAGCAAATGATCTGCAATTAAAGGAAATATTTTATTTTCAAATAAAGAGCAGCTGTCCAACAGCTGAACCTGCTGCTGATCAAAGTTGATCAAAGAATTCTTAGGATTATATATTACAGACAATCTACAGAAAAAAATGTAGTAGTCCTTGCTTATGGCATGCTTATCAGAGTCCATTGAAGTAAACAGGACTTTTTGTTGTTTTTAATGCAAATCTGATAAGCTCTGTAGAATGTAAATCAGCTCATTAAAATTTGTAAAGCACTAAAATGTAGTAAAAACGAAAACGGTTTAACTTTTATAGGATGTTTACTGCATATAAAGTACGATAAAATCACAATTATTCAGAAGAAAATACTGTTAAAATATGCTATACTGAATATGTTGTTCTGGGGAAGATTTAAAATTTTTAAATTGTGATTTTAAAAAAAACTAGTCTGACTAGAAATCTCACTGTATTACTGTGTAATTTTGTCTGTACAATCTTCATACCATCTCAGTCTAAAGTACACAATATTGGGGTGTGTTTGTGTATAATACATATACAAGTATGTATGTATGTCTGTATATATTAACCCGGGGATCAAGATAAATATTGAACAGCTCCTCCATTTGTAGTATGCTGTCTAAGCGGGGGGTATGTCAGGAAAAAAATAAGTAAATGATAATAAAGACAGAGGCATGGCCTGTGATGTCTTCTGACATGATGCTTCACTTGACAGTCTTAACTCTGATATTTGTGACATTGCTTACTTTGTTGTATCTCTTAGTACAATATCCGAATGTCGAGGTGACACTGCAAATCCTGAGATAATATTCATTTATCAGGGGCATTTGGGAAGTTTTACGCACTTTATGTGGATATGCGTGCATGCTGATATTACCTTCTCCATATACAGGTTTACATAAAATTTACTGTGTCTGCGTTGCCTTTGTAAGAGTGATGCATAAACTAACAGTTGACACCTTTTCGTGAAGCTGCTTTGGAACCTTCATGCTCCGATTTCTTAAAAAAAAAAAAGTTTTTGTTTTGTTTTGTTTTTTTCCCTGTTGCAGTTACTTCAATGAGAATCAATATCCAGACGAGGCAAAGAGAGAAGAAATTGCAAATGCCTGTAATGCAGTTATACAAAAGCCAGGTGAGGAGCTGACCGGGGTGTCCTTTCCAAAGGCAACTGCAATTAGATTTCAACATCTCCTGCTAAATTCAGCAAATCTCGTTTTATGGCTATTACTAACAAATGTGCTCTCAACTAGTAACTGTCTCCTTGAACATTCTATAACTCGTGGTGTTCAAAGCTGCCATACTTGGATGAACATGACAGCCAATGCAATTTTCAAACCTAAATATTGGTGTCTGCAACTTAAATTTCCACCATTTGAGATACAAAGTTCAAGTTGTGCATCTGAACGTTTCATTTCTACAGCTTTGTAAATGGCACTGCTAAGAAAATAAACAATGTCTGAAAGGTTTTCATTCTTAATGTTCAGTTATACAAACACTCAGTAGCGGTCTGAGAATTTTATTACACTCCACAAAAGTGGGCTTTACTGGTTCCTTTATACAGATGGGAAATCGTAGGTTCACAGACTGAGGCTTGCTGGAGATTATACAGCAGGTCCTCGGAGGAGTAAGGAGTAAGTTCTGGTCTTTCAGTTTTCTTTACAGCTTCTAGACAGGGATCTCATATAGAGGACCTTGTATTTGGGTCAACAAATTGCATTTTCCCGGTTCCTGGAGAAGTCCTGTTTGGGAGAGGAACATGATATTCTGTGTAGTAGTAGTGAATGCACCTGCCTTTGCTTAGTTTTGCTAACCAAACATTTACGTAGTTTTCAGAACATGTATTTTGGATATATTTAGATTTTGTGTAATGCCGAAGAAAGCTAAGGCATGAGTCCTGAACACTGGGGCAGTCACAGGATAGCACAGAATTATAGAGCGATTTAGGCTGGAAGTGACCTCTGGAGATCATCTGGTCAGGCGAGACCAGCTTAGATTAGGTTGCTGAGGGCTTTACCTCGTTCACTTTTGAATATCTCCAAAACCCGAGGTCTTCCCACCTCTGGGCCCCTGTTCGACAATGTTGAGCACTCTCATGACAGAATACTTTTCCCTAGTACCTAGTCAAAATTTCCGTTGTTGCAACTTTTATGTGTTGCCTCTTGTGTTTTTGTTGTGGAAGCAGAAGGATCTATTGGGTAGAGCACCAAAGTGGTTAGGATTTTATTCTGACTGTGCTGCTGGTTGGTTGAGCAACTCAGAACAGAGTTCTTAAACGTTGTGTCTCAGGATCGGTAAAATGAGTGGTACTGATGCAAAGCATTAGGGAACAGCATAGCTATTTCCAGAATTTTCTTTCTTTCACTTGTATAAGTTTGCAGATTGGTGCAATTACATGAATATTTTGTATGCTGAATAAACAAACTTTGAGAAACAGTCTGGGACAGGGGAGTCTCATCCCCATGTAGCCTGCAGAGGACTGAGGATGCAGCTACATTGAATATTTTATATAGGGTCAAGGCCAACTGAAGAGGTTTCCATGATGTCCTTGCAATGCTGAATCCCTCCAGTCTTTCCTCTTTTATGCTGGTGATGAGAAAAAGGCATTCTTTCCTGTAGCTGACTGGTGATTGTTGGGATATTTTTTGCTGGTTAAGTGTAAAACTCCAGTGATCTGGTTTCTAACATCCACCCTCATTCTCCCAAAAGATTGCAAGTGTCCTGGCACAATTGGGAGGGTGTGATTAGTGCTGCGGGAGCACAATAGCGGCTGGTGGTTGAGAGGAAAGAAAGCAGATTGGAGAGTATGACACGAAATTTCTTCATTCATTTTGCCGCTGAAGAAAACACATCATTGAACTATTTCCCCACGGCACGTAGTAAAGAGAACTAGCCCAAGGGTATTCGATTTGTGACAGGGCTGCGAATTGAATCTGAGTTTTTTGAATCTTGGTTTTGTGCTTGAACTAGAAAAGGAGCCCTCTATTCTCCCACAGCTCTGGATTCATTGAAGCTGCAAAGAAATTCCTGTATTTCAGATTTTAAAAAAAAAAAAAGGCTACTTTGTTTTTAGTGAGATATTTGGAATTTATTACCATAGCATCTGGGCACAGTACTTTGATTCACATAAAATTCACTTTATTCTCAGTTATAATAACTTCTCAAGGCTGTCTGTATTTCAGGGCTTTATCACATGTGTAAGGGCCTTTTTCCTACCTCTGGAACCCAGTAAGTAACAATACTGTATTTTATTTTTTTCCCCCGTTACTTTCATAGGAAAAAAGTTATCAGATTTGGAGCGAGTTACCTCCCTGAAAGTGTACAATTGGTTTGCCAACAGAAGAAAGGAAATCAAGAGAAGAGCCAATATCGGTAATGTATCACAGAGCCTGTTTTCAAGATTTAGTACATAGACTTGACCAGGAGAGATGGAAATTACGTAAGATTGTATTAATGAAAATAGTAGATGTTCTGACATTTGTAGTAGAAATGTGGAGGAATTATTAAAATTAGTCTCTTACCATTCCAGTTTTTTTCTAAAATGTGTGTAGGAGTTTATAGAATTCCATCATCGATGCAGGAAAAATGGTGCAGTTATGAAGTTTCACTGGACGATCAGTTTTAAAAACTGAAGCGAGAGTTCTGTTCACGGAAGGAGAATCATATTTCCCTATGCTCAGGCTCCTTTGAGTATCCAAACCAAAATCTGAAATAAAACCTCAAAATATCTGCGTTGGAAATAAGGGAAATTGAGGCGATGGCAAGTTCGCAACCTTAGCATGCTGTTTAAATGAAAAGTGGCTGCTGTGAAGAGCTTTTAGCTGGTTGTAAGTTTCCTTGTGTCTGTGTTCCGCTGAAATGTGCTTGTTCTTTCAGCCAAAACCTGGGGGTGTCTTTCTTACTACCATCCCCGAGACCCCGCAGGGATCTAAGAGTCCAGATGAGTTGTTTTACGTCTCAGATACAGCCACTGGGACCAAAAGTTCTGCAAGCCAACTGCTTACTCTGGTTACACCTGTGCCCCTTACTGCTTTCCAAGGGGTTGCACAGTGACAAGTGGCTGGAACAAAGTCATAATTTTTCTTGATGACCAAGATAAAACAAAAGTCACTTCAGAGTTAGCCCTGAAGGTTCTTTACGTGAGTGGCTGATCATAAGGAAATTAGAAGTGACTCTGAACTTGTAAGAAGTAGACCTTCTAATGTGAATAAACATCAGACATTCTAATGAGAATAAACTCACATTAGTGGCCAGGATTCAACAAACTTCTGCAACACATGCAAAATTTTATGCAGTTACTTAGATACCATGCAGAATTACGTTTGCAGTACATAGATGAACAGAGATCTATACCTGCCTATTACCAGTATTTTTGCAAATGTCAAATGTTACGCCCTTTTGCTATCTGCTTCTTTTTTGCCCATAGTTGTGAATAAGAAAAAATTCTTTTTACAGCATTCGGTATCTTACTAAAATTTAACCTAAATTTATTTTTCTAAAAATAACATCTGTCTTGTCAAAGGGGTGGGGGGGAACAAAGCAAAGTCAGTGCAAGGTGGGTGGAGTTATAGCTGTATCTGTACTGTTTGGGGAGGAGGGTTGGAAAGAGATTAAAAAGAACCAAAGGGAGCTTTAGATGCATGGATCCTACTGGAAGATGAAGATATGTGTGTTTTTCAAATCCCTTAAGTGCTTTAAAAAATTTCTCCATCTATTTTCAGACACTCCCCGCCCCCCTCAAGTCCTGCCAGTCCAAACTATGTGGGAAGATCTACAGGGAATGCCTTTGCCACTCCAGTGCATTAGAAATTAAGCTAATTTCTAATAGGACTGGCTGGAAAACAAGGATTCTTACTCGCAAACAAGTCTGTTAGTTGGCAGGGAAGGATTTCAGGCAAACCAGTATCTGTACATGTGCTACCTTCCCAAATACTGGAGAGTGAAGAGGAAGAGGCTAAGAACTAACTGTTCTTCCAGTTATTCTAACTTCTTGAAAAAAAAGTAGTTACTTTTAATTACTCTAATGCATCAGATAAATTAGGGATCCATTTGCTTTTTTCGAAGAAGCAGCAATCCTGGAGAGCCATGGAATAGATGTACAGAGTCCGGGAGGTCATTCCAACAGTGACGACGTTGATGGCAATGACTACTCGGAGCAGGTAAGCATCATGGCTGAACCACGTGGCCCAAAAAGGGGAGAGTTCACGCAACACATGAAGAGGCCCTCTACCTCTTGCAAATCAGATGTCTCTTGTTTTTGTTTTGCTTTTGTGTAATTGTAATGGGGAAAGTGGAAGAGCACAGCTCCCCTCTTTGAATATGTTGAGCAACCAGTGTTCACCCACATGGATTTATTGTCATACAACAGGACACTTGGCAAGTACGCAATGGGGAGGAGGAGGGAAGATGTTCAGAGGGAGGCAGAGAAGCAGAGAAGGTAGAAGAAGACAGGAGGATCTGCTCCAAACAAGCAAGTTACACCATTCACGCCACACGCAATGTATGAAAAATGTTAGGAGAGTGTTAACTCACCCAGTGCACCACGCATAACTTGCGCTCTCCTTACCCCTGGCACCGTTCTAGTTATCCACCCTCCAGAAAGGATGTACAGGTCTTTAACAGTTGCTCCTATATATCAGGCTTCCCTCCCAAACTAGGCATGTGTGTTCCTCTGGCACCTATTATTTCTTTCTGGAAGAGATGTCTCCTTTATAGCCTGTGCTGCAGCTACTGTGAGTTGCTTATCTGGCACCCAGAGAAGTACAGCAGTAAGCCCCTGCCCAGTACGCTTTTTAATCCCTTTTGTTAACCTTGCACAGCAAGGTACTGAGCATCCTCCTGTAAGGTGCTGAGCTCCATCTGTTTGTCTGTGGGGAGTACCTTTCAGGAGTGTCTCAGGATCTGTCCCTAAGACACTGACAGACAAAGGGTGAAGGGTGGGGGGGGAAGGATTTAATTAAATAAAGTTTGACATTTATTTGGCCCTGTACCTGCTCTGTATTGTTCTGCAACGATGTGCCACTATTTGGATTGTTTACATATTATCTGTCTTTTTATTTTTCTTTCTTTTTGCATTTTAACTCTTGCCTATTCTCTATTTTTCTTGGTTATTTTTAACCCTTGACAGCAACTTCTTTTTTAAATTCTCTAGCAAAAGAATACCCCTTCCCGCACTCTGAGCCCTCACCTACCCTAAAGTTGGTGACCCTTCCTTCACACACCTTCCTGACAGGTATTGCATCCCCTTCCCAATTTTCCTTCAGGTGTCAGTTTTGGCCAACCCTCGCAGGGCTGTGTGTGCTTGGCACCAGTGAACTTGGACAGTTCACTTGTTTCTGGTTTTGCTATGAGCTGTGTTCTGTGCTACACCCAACAGCTGGGGTGGGCAGATCGCTTTTAATTGACTCGTTTGGGAGAAGTAGGTAGGTCTCCCTCTAAAAAGGCTGCTGGTGGAGTGTAATAGCAAGTGAATGCCCTGGAATGAGTCCCTAGCATACTTGGCTGTGGCCCAGTACAACAGATATCTGGCAGAGGCATTCCCAGCCACTCTGCTTCTGGTGGGTATTAAGGCCCTTTTTTATAGGTCATCACCAGCAGATTTGGTAGAACCGACTTTGCTAGCTCTAGATGATGAGAGGCTGCTCTGTGACTGTTATAAAATATTTTGAAACTGCTGCTAGGCACAGATAATTCCTTGTCAGTCAGATACAGGATCTGAATACTGAGATGAAGTGTTATGTAGACTCCCAAACTACATTTTTCTTCTGTATATTAGCCAAAATACTTTGAAAAGAGAAACAAATTGGGTTATTAAAATTTAAAGATCTGTGCTTAGAGTCCCTAAAAAATACATTTCTTGGTAATCTAGCTAGACTCCTCTATGAAGTGTAATTAGGCATTAGCAGCGAAGTGGGTTAAATGGCAAGCTCTCCTGATGACCATTTAACATCTCTTCGCTGTTTAAACCGTAAATTCTGTTTTCCACAGCGACACTTAAACTCTAGTAAACTTTAAAACACGAAGTTCATCCAAATCCTAATGAAGTGCCTAAAACTCCAGAAGTCAGGACTTTATATTTCTTACCGTGGTAAAGATTACTGAGAGGCCCTTAAGAGTGTGTGGATGTCACAGTGTTTACCTGACATTTGTTGTAAATGCATGCGTTCCTTTAAATAACCTCAGGATTTTACCGAATCCTGGCTTTCCTGTCCCCCTTAACATTTGCCACCTGTCATCTTAATGTGAAAATGTATAGTACACATTTTAAATTTCACAAGTTCACCACTTAAAGGCTGTTGGGAGACTGAGAAATGTTTCATCATTTTTTTTTCTGTAAATAATAATAATTTTAAAAAATTGTGAGATCATGATGTGGTAGAAATTAGTACCCCATTTTGAAGAGGGGAAAACACCATGATTTCACCCAAAGTTCCAGAAGAATTTATTTGACAGCTGGAATTAGAGTTTGCATATTGCTGGTTCTCCTTCTTACTGTTGAAAACCAGGCCCTCTTTCTGATGGAAATACTCACAACTCGCTGTAAAATTTATGCTAGAATTGTCAGACTTTTAGGTCTGCTCTTGTATGACTTTTATGCACCTGTAGAAGGCAGACCTTCTTGTTCATTGATTTTTAAAATTTTCACTGCAATCCTGTAGCAGCAAAGTTTCTCTTTATTAATTTTGCTTGCCAGCCAGCACAACCATCAACGTGGTGGTCCTCTTACAGCTGAGAGACTTTGTTCTTTAGAAAATAGATGAAAAAATGTATGGCACATAGTTCAGTGGACTGGAGAACCTGGCATTATCTTCACCTGCATGTTTGAATTATGGTGGTTTCCCTCCCCTGAAATCATTGCACAGTTTTTCTTAGCGGTCTAGGAGTTTTTCAGCATCTTTTTCTATACCCGTGTGAATTCAGTGTCTTCACAGGATACTGGCTCAGACCAAGGTTAGTCTAGGTCTGTATCCTGTTTCTGAGCGAGATCAATAGTGGTATTTAAAGAAAAATTATTTTTAAAGAATATATAGAATTATTTTATTACAGTAGCTTCCAGCTTCTGGAAGTCACTAGTTTTGAGAGGCTTCCTGAGCCAGGCAGTGTATCCACTTTCAGTTTTGATAGTTTGTAGTAGACTAATTTTCCCTGAACTTGTCTAACCCCTGCCTTTTAAAGCCATTTTTGCTTTTGTCTGATCTAAAAATCAGTGAATCCTACAACTGAACTGTGATAGGTGAAGTAGTGCTTCCCGTTGCTGCTTTGGAAGGTATTATCATTCCAGTGAGTGCCCTTGCTTATTATATCACAAGAAGCCACAAACAGTTGCTCTCTATTTACTGATTATCTGTAATAAACGTTTACTGTATCAACCATCAGCCTTTTCCAAACTGAAGAACCTGAGTTTATTTAGCCTTTCCTCCTAAGAAAGCCACCCCATGCCTCTTTTCCCCTGGGTTGCCATTCTTTCTACCTTTTCTAGTTCTGTTGTGTCTTCTTTAAATGGGATGACCAGAACTGTAAATTCAAAATGTAAGCGTAGCATGAATTTGTGCAGTGCATAAAGATTCCTGTCTTAGTTTGGTTTCCTGAAATACCTTGTGTATCACTTTTACCTTTGTAATTTAATATTTTCTTTAGAATATCCCTCCCCCCTCAAATTTGTCCCTCAAAAATTGGGTACGCCACTCCCTGCCTTGCTTACCTTTGTCTGCACAGTGAGGGAAATCTGTCCTAAATCAATTTTGTAAATTCCTTTCACTTTCTACCCCTGTAACGAATGTGCAATTTGCTGCCCCTAGTCCACTTTACACACTAGTTTTATCTGCTGGTTTTCTACTTATGGAGTAACAATGCTTCTCTCTTCTCCTTTCCACATGCACAGGATGACAGCACTAGCCATAGTGACCATCAAGACCCCATTTCACTAGCCGTGGAAATGGCAGCGGTAAACCACACCATCCTGGCATTGGCCCGGCAAGGAGCCAACGAGATCAAGACAGAGGCTCTAGACGACGACTGATACAAAGAAAGGGGAGGGTCAAAGCAAGAAGTAACTTAGTTTTAGACGTAGCACCTTAGCAGACTTTCCTCGGTCCTTAATATGTGTTCTTACAGTATAACTTTGCAGTTTCTTGTACGTCAGTTAGCTGTTAGGGTCTTGTTCTGTGAAGATGGCATGGTGCCCTCAGCCTTTGCATATACTCTCTCAGTATTAATTCCCAATAAATAATCAATCAACCAACCAACCTCCCTCTCCCAGCCCCAGTGGCTAGAAAAATCTTGCTGCTCTGTCTTAGCATTCAAAGTGCTTCCAGGTATTTTAGACAGCCCTCAATTACAAGACTTAGGCTACACTTAAGATCTTGGATACCCTTAGAGATGGTGTTAAAAAAATAGTCTGTACGCTTTTCCTTCTCTGAGACTGAAAGGATGCAAGCTGAGGTAGTGGCACAGGGTCGATGGACACCAGATCGGGAGTATCAACAGAGAGTAAAAAGAACACTAGAAACCCCACTTCAGCATGGGAATAAATGATTTCCAGCTGCAATAAGCCGTGCCTCACTGGTCATACAGTGACTTGATACACTTTTGGGTGCTGTGCTGAGAATGTCCATTGGAAACACATTCACATATTTCGGTTGATGCTCACATATTCAACACAGACATCTTCTGCTCTCACAAGCTGCGTGGCTTAGTGGATAAGTACTGCCTTCTGCCTCTGGGACCATGATTGAAGCCCAGCCTGGGATCATATGAAAAATGAGCTGAATGTCTAATGGACAACAGTCCACTTCTCAAAACCACTATTCATTATTTGGCATGGCTAGCAGTGCCTGCTCAGAAGAGGTCTAGACTCTATTGATTTGTCATTAACAATCTCACCTTTTATTCTTCCTCTCGCCTTTTCTGTCCTCACCCTACTTCCCTCTCCACTTTGCCACTTTCAAAAGCAATGTTTTCCAGGAAGGTTATTAAGGTCATAAAATAGGTGAGTGGATTTTTACACGTCTGTGTAACTACTGCCTATGTCCTGACTAGCCTGAAAGGTTATTGGAGAACTTTTGCATCTGACCTTTGCTAGATAACCATCATAGCATAAATATTCTCCTAAATACAAACTTTTTTTATTTGTTTAAAGGCAGGAGGATCTCTTACCTGAGAAATGGGGTGTGAATGTTTTGTGTTCTCTTTACTCTGTCCTGGTTAAGATGTGAGAAAGCTATACTGCTACGAGCAATTTAATTAATAATTGGAAGCCATACTGATAATGGATGTGGTAATATTTGTAAAGCAAACCTACTTTAAGTAGCAGAAACTAATGGAATTGTTTTCCTTGATCATATGTAGCACTTTTGTTACTTTTTTCTTAAAGATATTTATATTTGATAAGTCTTTTTTTTATCATTTGAGAATTCAAAATACCAAACAGCAAACTTGCATTACAGAGTCACCCTGCGATCACCTTGTCATCTAGTATCTAAATGATGAACTGTGTGTGCATCTAAGAAAATTACATCTGCTGGCATTGTGTGGAAATGATCTCCTGGCATCCTGATAAAATGATATGTTGCTGCCGGTAAGAGGAAACATTTCGATGGAAACAGCACGGGAAGTGTTAGAGACGGGCAGGACTGTGTTACATTAAAAATAAAAATTAAAAACCTATGTAAATTTTTTTATATATAGATATATAAAAATTTGCATAGCGTTTCCTCAACATTCCATTTTTGTCTTCCCAGTTTATGTGGGAATAGCTTAAAAAGAGGAAAACAGCTTAGTCTGAAGGATGGGTCTCCCTTTTCTCCCCTGCACTTTCAAGGTGGAGGGAATGAAGGGAAGTTGCTATCACTTATCTCGTTCTCATCCCTTCCTCACACTTAACTATCAGATAGCATTGAGAACTCCTAAAATGTGTCTCCTCAGCAGGTTTTTAACCAGCCTAAACCCCTTTAAGGCATAGGCTAACTGGATCATCTTTACATCCGTTAATCTTGTGAAAGTTGCTTAGGTAAGTGTGGAGGAGATTTTGTGCTTTCAAAAGGCACAGACTTGGCACCTCTTTGTCTCTGTAACTTTGAAGATACTTTAAGTAGGGTCTGGCCTCGACTTTCACTTATGGATTTCATTGGAAAAATTATGTGCTTTCCTTAGATATAGATCACTGAAGCAGAATGAAGCCGTCTTTTTTCTGTTTTATTGCGTTTCTTCAGTAGACAAATTCATGAGTAGTGTCAGGGCAGACTCAGGAAAGAAAGGAATTGGATCAGCGACCATTGCACCATTGCAGTTTTTTTCTTAATGTGCGTATGAATGTTTTGGTACTAAGGAGTGAAAGGACGGGGAGAGCTTTTATTTCTATTTTTGCACAGCAGAATGATCGAGCAAACTGTAGCCTTAGTGGAATTTTACCTACTTACTCATTCCGCAGTCACACAGCAAGCTGACAAGCAACATCCACGATTTATAGAAAGGAGATTTTAATAATCAATGACCTCTTTACATTGGATTTGCCGCCACCATTTGTTCTGGCTGTTTCATTTTAAAAAGAGCAGACTTAAACTGTTGGACAGCTGCAATTTTAAAAGAAATATTGCTTGCTATACCATCTTAAAACAAAAAAAGTAATTGTTTTAAACATCGCCTTTTTAAAGCAATGGGGAAGAATGAAAAAAAATACTAGAACTTGTATATCCTGATTATAGGTTCACATGATGCAGAATCGAAGTAACACCACTAAAATTGTATGTCTATACCATCTAATGTAGAATAATCTGGTCTTAATTCTGTTCGTCACTGTCGGGAGCTGCTAGTCTCATCATGCATCAGTATCCTATCTGAAGGTTAAACAGTTAAAGCCCTTGTGAACAACTGGAGATTGGCAGATCCTCCTTGTCTGTAGCGTTGTGGTTAATACCAGTTTTCTGCTTTCCCACATCATCTTCTCACCAGAGAAAATAAAAATGGCTTAACTGGGGAATCGGATTCTTAGTTCCATGGTATTGGTGTTTGGGTTGACCTTGTCTATTTTGGCTTTTCTTTGACCATTGAGAGGTATGAGGAAAGAAGACGACTTCAGCTGTTACCAGGGCGCTCATGGCAGTCTGCAGTTGGCTAGTAACTTTTTGGTTTGATGTGTATTAGCTAAAATGGAACAGATGCTGGTGTAATGATATCAGGGGAAGCATACATCATCTAGAGTAAGTGAAAGAGTTGGTAGAGAGTGTGTCCTGGAATTTAGCCTTTGTTCTAGGGTTTTCTCTGCAATATGGGACTTGTCTTTGTCTTTCTGTCTCTGAATTTTCTTGAAAATTAAGCCTCATTTTTGTAGCATTGCAGTTCAGTTGCAATTTGTAGTAGCTAATCTGGAATTACTGCAATTTGTTCTCGTGGGTTCCCTTGAAGTGGATCTGGTGACAGACTGGATCTACCTTTTTCTTCTGTGAATAGTGAAGAAATTATTTAGGATGCTCCTCTTCTGTGATGGGCACGGATTGCTTTTAACTTCGTAGAGCAAGTTCTGGCTGTTACTTCGTCGCTCATAAAGTCCTCATACTTGAGTTGTTGTCTCTTACTGTCTTCTTAAAACAACGATTTCTACCTCCACTTCTTGTTTGGGTTGGTTTTTTTGGTTTTTTTTTAGTTCCCCAACCTTTTTCCTGAAGTATGAGATCCCAGGTGTTTGCAAAAGCGTTATGAGTTGATAAAAATAAGACAACGTAGCAATGAGCAGACATGTTATCCATTGATGCCCTAGAGTTAGAGACATCTTCTATATACATATACATATTGTACGGCATAATCCCATCACTTACATGTTGGATGTGAACAAGTTGGTTGTCAGCAGTGCACCCTTGCAGCAAATAAGGAATCTCATTAAGAAGAGCCTTCAGCAGGTCAAGGAAAGCGGTTAGTCCCCTTCATTCATCGCTTGTCGGACCATGTCTGGAGTACTGTGTGCAGGGTTGGGCAGGAGTGAGTCCATCGTAGGGCTGCTGAGATGAGAGAGTTGGAGCATATGTCATGGTGGTGAGAGATTGCGAGAGCTGGTGGTGTTCAGGCAGGCTCTGGGGCCATCCTCTATTTTTGTTGTTCAGCTATCTTAATGGGTGGGGTTAGAGAAGACGGAGCCAGGCTCTTCTCAGAGGTACACAGCAAAAAACTGAGGGGCAGTGGGCTAGAAGTTGCTTTAAAAAAGATCCCAGATGAATATAAAGAGAAATGTTTTCATACTCGGAGTGGTAGAACAGTGGCCCAGAAAGGCAGTAGAAACCCCATCCTTGGGGATATTCAAAATTCAACTGGACAACCTTGGATTAGAGACCTCCAGAAGTCTCTTTTGACCTAAATTATTCTATGGTTCTGTACAAACCTGCTCAGGTTGAGGTGTTTCCTAGTTCTGATCTATATATGTTGACATGTTTGAAGACACTATCTTAATTATTTTTTTTTCTGTTTTGCTATTCAAAAAAAGTTATCTTTCCTATTCTACTCATAGAGGGGAGCTTTATTTGCAGGGTCTGGCTCCAGGCTCCAATCAAGCCATAAGTAATAAATTTCATTAATTATTTGCTCTGTTTACACAGTTCTTCAGGGATATTTGAATTATTCTGTTTGTTGCATTGCCTAACATCGACTGGTAAGTTTTCCATGTTTTTGTAACATTTGTGCTGTAGATCAGTTTTTGCCTTTGTTTGTGAGGATTTGTTGTTGTCTTGCTGCTGTGAGTGCAGGTGAAAAATTTTATAGCTGAATGTATTAGAGGAAAAATTGTAGTTAAGCCCACTGGTGACTACTATGATAAGCTAGAAGTTTTTGGTTCAGTAGATCATTAATTGGTCGTTATCAGAAGCTGAAAGGATGTGACTAGGGAAGAGTCACGTTATACTCACTTGGATCCTCCTTTTCTTTCCTCAAGTGTTTGCTCTTGGTCACTGCTAGGAAAAAAACCATACTTCACTAGGCAGACTTTAGGTCTGACTTGGATGCTGTTTTGAAGAGAAATCGCAATGGTGGTTGCCAATATGAACTGGCATGGGGTCAGTTAGATTCCCAAGTGTTAATTTCTGCCTTCGAGGTGCATAAGAACATAGAGATGATTTCACCGAGATTTTGAGTTCCTCTGTGTGGTATCAGAATTTTCCTTCACGATGAGATACTGCTTGCGAAGAAGTAAAATGAAAGCCTTGTGCTGGCCTTCCCCCAGAGCAGTTGAGTCGCCGAGGCATGTGGTAGTTGTAACAGGGTTTCGTAAGGAAGCGTGTTTTATTTCTCATAC